CTGGATATCCAGGGGTCTAATTTTCTCCCCATGCTACAAGTGTGCAGTGCGGGGAACATTTTTTCATTCTTGCATGTGCCTCTTGCCCCCCCTCAAAGGGGTTTGAGACGGGGCAGGAGTCACGTACATGCTCGTCTGGATGCACCCTATGTGTCTGCAGCAGGGCGTTGTTCATGCCTGATACTTTAAGGTCTGAGACAAGCAGCCAGCAGGTGCTTGATTGCGGCAGCCATTTTAGAACTCCAGTAGACTATATAAACAGAGCAGTTTGCTGCTGGCAGGCCAGGCAGGAACATTTGCCTGGCTGCAGGCTGAATGCTACAGCTTGGAAGTAAGGGCAGGTGCTTAAGGGAATGGTTTGGAGGCTCCTGGTCCTGGGCATGACCTAAAACTTCACCCTGCTGGGAGTGGGTGGCCCGGGGGGGCTCCCAGTGGTCCAGGAGCCCCCAGGAAATGCTAGGCCAGTTACCACCCCAGTGAAAGGTGGGTCGGGGTGCCTTAACACCTAGCCCCCACAACACTGTGGGTACAAGGGGGCCAGGTATGGCTATGGCCACCTGAGCTGAAGGAGCGTGTAAGACCCAAATAGGGCCAGGCATGGCCATGGCCACCTGAGCCCCTGCCAGGGAGGGAAGCCCAGTGACCCCAGTGAGGGGGTGGGTGTGGAGCCCCAGTGAGGGGAAAAACCAGAGGGATGGGAGCCCAGTATATGCATGTGTGAGAGTATAGAGTTGCCTGGTGAGGGGCGTGGGGAGGAATTAGCCCAGGGTTCATCCCAAGGCCAGACCATACACAGTGGGGGAACTCACAGGAATGGAAGGGACTGCAGAGCAAGGCCAGTATGTGGGTAATGAAGCCTGATGGCCCATAGGGGTCACTCAAGGAGGAGCAGAGCAGTGGAGTGTGGCCCAGTAATGGGCCATATGCCAGAGGCCCTGTTGAGAGAGGGGCAGAATGGAAGAGGCCTCCAGTGAGAGGGGAGGTGGTATGAATGTGTATATGCACGGAGCCCAACTTTAGACTCAATTTGCTCTGGTCTCAGGCCGGGAGTAATATTAACCTGGATGCCATCCGCAAGGCTTAGGCTGTGGCGTAGGGGAGGAATGGAGCTGCAGATAGTGCCCTCTGGCATTGGGGCAAGAATGGGAAGCCTCCCACCTAATTAACACCATAATTATGTATCATCAAGGTGTGGCAGGAAAGGAGGTGAACGGTTGGCCCAGAAACAGGTGGGCGGGCCAATGACAGACTGGTCCCAAGAGTCCTCTGTTACAGTGTCCATACAGAAGTTTTCCAGCTGCAAAAACCTGGTATTTTGGCATTTATGCATAATCTGCAATTCCATCACACATCTAAAGTCCACACAGCTACTGAGCACGCTCAGTAGGGTTAGTACTAGCTGGGCTAGTATGCAGTTATGTGTACATGTACCTGAGAATAAGTGAGGAAAAAAGCTGTTTTATCCCTAATCATTGGGTGCATCTACACATACCTATTAATGCACAGCAATAAAATCTGGAGCCCAGGTGTGCACATGTGCCCAACTTTGCAGCATGTAGGGTTGGATCAAAGCAGCCCTGGCTGGCAGGGAACCCAGGGAGTCATCCTGCCAGCCTGGGGCTGCTTCCTACAGCTCAATGTGCTACAGAGGGGATGGCAGAGGAATAAGGGTGTTTCAGGGTAAGGCTAACTGGCAGACAGCCCCTACATTGAAGCACCCTTATGCCCTAGCCACTCAGGGAAGCATCTACATGTGTGCTGCTACAAGTACTATCCTGCTGTGGAGTAAATTGGTTTACTCCAGCCTAATAGGGGTGCATGTGTAGGCGCCGAGAGGTTAGCTATACAGCCAAGTAGCTAGTGCTCAGTAAACATTTCATGTAGATGTGCCCATTGAGTAGTTAGGACATTTGCTTAGGAAGTGGGAGAACCTAATTCTAGGCCCACCTTATTTAAAGGCAGCTTAAGCCTATACCTCTGTGACTTCCCAGTACAGAGCTCCAACTGTTAGGCATTATCCAGTCTTCCTCTTGAAGCTGAGCCACTGTATCTTGCATTAGTAATCACTGGATAAAATCAATGGAGAGCAACAGTGAAGTTGCTGCTAACCACCATGACCTGTTCCCTTCCAGAACAGTGAGCATGTCTACATGTGAATTTGCGCACTCCTAAACTTAATGCACCTTATCCTAAGGTGCATTAACATGATTTAGGTACGCATCTACATGTGCACACCTTAAGGTGCATTAAAAACATCTCCACCCACCTCCATCCTGGACAAGCACCCAGCCTCCCTGTTGGAGACTGTCCAAGGGGAGAGGCAGTCTGAGCTCCTGGGGGCTCTGCATGGCTCAGCCTGGGCATGCTAGGTGCAACATAGTTGAGGGCTCAGCTGTGGATCAGGCAGGCCAAGGAGAGAGCCTAGCTTCCACCTGCTTTGCACCCAGCCTGTCTAGACTGAGCCATGTAGAGGCCCCAGGAGCTCACACCACCTCTCCCATAGACAGTGTCCAGCAGGTAGGTCGGGCTCTTGCCTGGGACAGAAGTGGGTAGTGCAGGGAAAGCCATGCTGGGTGCTGGAGGCAGATGCAGTCCTAGCCTGCTTGTTGTCCCAGGCAGGAGCTGCAGTGCAGGCTTCTAAGGGCACCTGAATCCCAGGCAGGCAGCAAGGTGTCCTGCCCCTGCAGAGCTGCATTGCCCAGCCAGCAAACCTGCCCTGAGGTTCAGGCCCTGCCCACGCTGTGCTGCCGACTTCCCCTGCAGGGAGTTACAGGGGGGGGCTTTCCCTTGTGCTTTGACAGGAGCCCTTGTGCCTCCTGCCCACTCTGCCGACTTAGTGCCTAGTTGGTCACCACACCAACAGGGACTGCTGCTACTGGAACCACCACTCCAGCTCCAGCATCTGTGCCTTGGAGAAAAGCACACATCGTGCCGTCTTCTTGGTGGCATCTAGCAGCAGTGCAGGGCCCTGTGGGCTCAGCTCTGGCCCACTCAGTTGACAAAGACAGCTTTAAGGTGCCTTAAGGCATCTACATGTAGGTTCAGGTGCCTAAATTTAATACCTGCTTTATGCAGGTATCAAATTTAGATGGAATTAGCTTAAAATTGCCCTTTTTAAAGTGCATTAAGGGCATGCACATGTAGACCCTCACACTTAATATGCCTTAAAAATGGCGCCTTACATCAGCATATGTAGACACGCCCAGTATCTATCTCACTAAGCCATATGCCCTCTGTCATGTTTGTTTCCCACTAGTCCCAGATACCTCTCTCTCTTGGCTGCCCAAGGGGCCAGCTTCAAGAGGAGGGCTGGAAAAATAGCTAGGTAATAGCTTCGTGATTTATTCAGTATGCTCAGAAGAATCTAGTTTCTCTTTCTGCCTCGGCTATTGGAGGTAAAACATGGTAGGGTCTTTTTCACCCCGGCGACTTTGGCGAGGTAGAATTCTGTGGTTTCTGTATAGCCAGCATATAAATGTCACGCATCTGCCTAGACAGGCCATCATCTCCTGTGCATCCTCAGTAGCCATGTGGGTGCTTAGACATAATGCTGCGCATGGAGTCGGATTGCAAGCTGTGTATGAGGGCTGGAAAACTGCCATTTGGTCAGCAATGTGAAAAAAAATTGCACTGTCTGAGCAATCTCCTTCCTTTATGTGTGTTTTCTTTTGGATTTTAATACAGAGATTAAAATCATGACCCTAAATGGCTACTTTACCAGTAACTTCCAAATGGGCCTAATTTTATCTCATGGATCTATTTCCAAGAACAAAAAAAACATATCTTATAGGCACAGTCCTGCACATCAGTATTTGTTTTGGCCTCCATAAGAAAGATGCATAGCTATGTGCAACTTTAAACCCATGCGTAATCCTGTGGTCCTCACATGAGTGGAGTGGGAGTACTCTCTTGTGCTTTAAATTAAGCACATGCTTAAGTGTTTTGCTGGGTGGAGGCCAGACTGTTCAGCCCCAAGTCAGTTATTTTTATCTTTGTTCTTAAATGGCCATATGCTATGTGCAGAAATCTTAACAGAACTTTGCATAAAGATGTCAGGATATGGCCTCAACAGTTATTCTCTCCTTGAAAGCTTCTGGTTTCTGCCAAAAAACTGAATCAACTGTCAGCAGTCTCAGATGCATTGAGTTTAGATAAATGTAAAGGGGTTTCAGATTGTTAGCTCCAAGCAGTCAAAAACCTCTGACTATCCCTCTGCCTCCTAAGCATGAGATTAGCTAAAATCATGATTTTTTTTTTCTCCCCACTTTATCTTCTGGAGCCTTTCAGCTACATTTTGTTCATGTTTTCAAGCCTTTCCCTGCTACCATATAAGGCTTAGAAACTTGCTGCTTTTAATTACAGAGATGATTATGTATTAATTTGGCTCCAGGATGTAGAATTCCACAAGAACTTCAAATACTGTTCAGCTTACACTAAAACTTCAGAAACTGTAGCAGTGCTATTTGGAAATAATTGCAAGAAAATCAGTTTGGTGGATTAATCCTACAGAATGCAGCCACTTGCAGAAAAAGTTTTGTAAAGATTTGGGGCCAATTATTATTCATTAGCTTGGGGGTGCTAAAGATTTTCACGTTATGACTAGTGCTTTAACACTATATGAATTCGTTAGCTTTGGATGAAACCCCAGTGTTTTTGTTGTCAGTTGTAAAATTCAACCTAACTTTCGTAGGATCAGAAAATTACTTCATGAGTCTTGCTTCCAGTCAAACAGAAACAGCATCATGAAAAGGCCTTTTTCCCTCTTTGTTAATTGATTTGCATTTTTTATTAGTCCACCATCTTAGAAAATGTGGACATCATTGTATGTTGTATTTGTGGTGTACTTACCAATACAGCCCGGCATGCCGGGCTCAGAGAATCTTTGTTGTGATGGTTGGAGCCCGTCCATCAATCGGATAACTGCTGGGAAGGGGCTTGCCCTGCCCCTGCTGGGGGGTGGGGGTGCAAACCCAGACCTGATTATATCCTGCATTTTGCAGGTCTCATAGCACACTGGGGGTGGAGCCTTTGGAGTGAATAAAAGGAACAGCAAACTCAGCATGCAGCAGAAGCGTCAAGGGACAGAGAAGAGGATGGGAAAAGAAGAGCTGGTGTAAGCTGGCCAGCAGGCAGAACCAGCACCCTGAAGAGCCAAAAGATGCCTCTTTGTGAGTGGGAGTGGCCATTTAAGAAAGCTCGGGTCTGCAACCTTTGGCATGAGGCCAGGGACCCCGGTGCCACAGCGGTGCATGGAGCCCCCAGACCCTGGGAGCTTCACGAGGCAGCTTGGGTCTTCAACCCCCCTGGTGTGAGGCCAGAAACCTGGAGCTGGCAGCAGGGTGCGGCGTGGTCCAGTGGGACCCCGACCTTGGGAGCCGCTCAAGGTAGCCGGGGTCCACCCTTTCCTGGCACGCGGGCAGGACTCCTGTCCACACTCGGTGCATGGCTGGTCCCAGGTGGGGAACTGGGCCTTGGAGCCACAGAAGGTAGCCTGAGTCCCCAACTGTGAACAGAAGGCAGAGCCCTTGGTGCATGCGATGGTGCATGTGGCCACCTATATTTTGTGAGAGATCACATTATATGTGGTGAACATTTTTATCTATGTATTTGATAGTTCAATAGAGTGTTAAGTATAAACCTGCAAAGAGGCTCTGCTGGGACCCCATCCCTGATGGTTATATACACTTTCCTGGGTATAGGTGTGTTTTGACTGTTGTTTAATTGGATTTATATGTGCTCACCTGTACCTAACTATTGTTTGTCAGTCCCCAGGCTGTAGCAGTGCATGGGATTCTTTTGTCCTAAGTGCATGACTGCACTTGTCCTTGTTGAACCTCATGAGATTTCTTTTGGCTCCAATTTGTCTAGGTCACTCTGAATCCTAGCCCTACCCTCCAGTGTATCTATGACACCCCCCACCTTGGTGTCATCCATGAACTTGCTGAGGGTGCAATCCATCCCATCATGCAGATCATTAATGAAGATGCTAAACAAAATCAGCCCCAGGACCAATACCTGGGGCACTCTACTTGATATCAGTTGCCAACTAGACTTTGAGCCATTGATTACTACCCATTGAGCCCAGCAATCCAACCAGTTTTCTATCCACCTTGCAGTCCATTCATCCAACCCAGACTTCCTCAGCTTGCTTGCAAGAATGCTGTGGGAGACGGTATCAAAAGCCTTGCTAAAGTCAAGGTATATTACATCCATTGCTTTCCCGGCATCCACTGAGTCAGGTATCTCAACATAGAAGGCAATCAAGTTAGTCAGGCATGACGAGCCCTTGGTGAATCCATGCTGACTGTTCCTAATCACCTTCTTCTTCAAGTGCTTAGAAAGGGTTCTTGTGAACCCTTCGAATTTAACATATATTCAGCCTGTGGAAACTTCTAACTGTAAGTGACTGGTCTTGGTGACTCAAATAGTTTCCTTCAGTCCTATGCTCTTTTGAAAGGACCTGTACCAATCTCACTTTTGGCTCTCTGCATAGCAAGAGGATTGTACATGTGGCAAGTGTATACAGTATTATAGATTCATAAATTCATAGTATTATCTTGTAAGCTAGGGAAATAGACACTCTCCTAGAATGTGGGAGACCTCCTTCTTTTTTGAATCAGGTAAAGAGGAAATCTAAATCCTGCTTTCCAAGAACCTGTCTGAGCAGCCTACCCAATAGTCTAGTCAATAGTCTATAGTAAGACTGTTTTTGTTTTTGTTTTTTTAATGGCACCTAAGTCTTCTTATGTATCTAGCCCAAAAAAATCTAAACATCTTATTTTGAAAATACCAAAGCAAATTGAGTGAGCATTCCTCAAATATTCTCTTCATTTTCTATTAATCCGTTTTTCACCTATTCATCCAATATTCTTTGTTTCTCACTGCAAATGGGCAAGCCACTTCATGGTCTTAAGGCACCAGGATCACAAAGGTGACCTCTCTCCTCTTGAGTCCCACGCTATAACATGTCTGCACTGGAGAAACATAAAATTAGGCCTTGGGATTTTCCTAGGCCTAGGAAAACATAATATTAATAGTAATTAATTGATCAATCAATTTTATCATATCAATAATTATATTTCCAAGTGTGACCAAATTTCCAAGCAAAGTGGCCTGTCTGGAGGTGGTTTATGAAGCTAACTAAATTGTATTTCATTATTGAAAAATGTGCTATGCTGATGGAAGGGCACAGAAAAGACTAGCTTATTATGAAGGGCTAAATCTATCTCCCTTTTTTATAATTGTGGGACCCACCCCCCCAGACTCCAAATAATGAATTAATACAGATCCACTGTGCAAGGGGAAAGCTGTTTCCCTGCCTTTTCTGGATCCAACTTCATGAGAACTTCAGTCCTTCAGTAAAGGGACATCTTCTTGCTATTCCTTCTCCTATGCACACATTAGGGAAGCTAGGAACAGCTCCCAGTCAGTTAGCATGCCTAGTTAGAAAAAAAGTCTCCCCACGCTTTCCCCTGTGCATTTATTCACAGCAAAGTAACCATCTCAGATTTTCTGGGGAAATTTTGAATTTTGGGGCTGTGTCCCAGTGTCCCCAAGGATGCCCTAAAATGGGACTTATGGCTCAAATTTGAAAAATTAGTCTCAGGGTCTAAGTACAGACAATCAAAAAGCTGGAGGCTGAATCAATTCAATCTTAACAGGTTAGTCTAAGTTGCATAGTTTGAACCGATAAGCAAGTGAACAGGCATTAATTTTTTATTCTATGCATGCAGCCACATCCTTGCAATAGCCCAGGCCAGAAGCTGGGGGGTGCTAGAGTATGCCTTCATGCTTGGGCCAAGGCTAGCCCACCCACCCTGTTGTGGGGAAGTGAAAAGCAACCTAGGATGCTAGGGAACTGTGAATTAACTTGAATCTGGAGGGGATCTGGGACAGACATTCAATAAATTGATTTAACCTAAATCAGTTGAGTCTGATTTAGGTTAAATCAGACTTAACCTAAATCAGACTACATCTATCCAGGTTTATCTTAATGGCCATTTTGGTTTTGGCCATTTTGAAAGCGGTTTATGTGCAATGAACTTCTGTTGTATTAGATTCAAACCAGTTTCTGATCACTTATACCAATGTATGTGTAATTTCTATCCCTAGCCAGGCTGATGCCAGACAGCATCATGTTATGTCTCCTGAGAGGACAGAACACAACATTTCCTGGTGCCATGGGGATGCAGCTCTATTACTTCCAGATCAGAAAGTACTCATGGGCTGTCTCTTGGCACAGAGGGACTATAGCCTCAGTCATGAGAATACCTCTGTTTCTCAGCAGTGTGTGAAAGCAGACCACTCATTATCTCCACTGAAAAACAGAGGTAGTTGTCCTGCACTGAGGTTCTCACGAACGTGGCTATGTTGTTTCTGGTTTGAGAGGTTGGCTGTGGGTTACCACTCGGGCAGAGAGTAGTACAGCTGTGTGAACATAGGTTTGAACCCAGACTAGTTAATTCTGTCAACAGTGCTACCTTATAGCAGATACATTAACTAGAACCAGAAGCGATATCATATACTGGTTCTGGAGACTGATAGAGTATCCAGAACTGTGTTCTGAATTTTGGTCTCTATATCAAGGTGGCCACCTTAATTCATAGTGCTTTCCAAGTACCCCTAGGGGTACGTGTACCCTAGTTGACAACCTCTGTTCTTGGAGAACAGGATTTAAATTTCCTCTCTGTCTGATTCAAAATAGACGGTCTCCCACTCCCTAGGAGAGTGTCCATATTCCTAGTTTCTGAGGTAACCTGAGGTCAAGCTCTGTCAGTTGAAACTGTTCTGTTCCATCTTTTATATAAAATATTATTAACATGAAGACAGAATAAGAATAACTTGTATAGTTTGATGCTTCTGTGGAACATAAAAGACCTTAGGTCAAATTTTTGCTTTGAATTAGAAAGAGAGGGGATTTGAACCTGGTATCCCCTGCACAAAGGAGTGGTCTACCCTAAGCTGTTGGAAGTAAGAGCTTTTTCTTGATGGGTTTGTTAATGCTATCTACATCCCCTAGTGAAGTTAGCCCTTTGCTTTTTTTTAACAATTTCAGATAGTGAAACAATTTGTTTTGGGTTGAACAAGATATTCACTTTACCAGTAACTTTTTCTAAAGAATCAGATTGACTTGGAGTGTTTTTTGTTTTGTTTTGTTTGTTTCAATGTTGTAGTTCAGCCTAAAACATCAGTTATTCTCCTAGGCCTACCACTCCACTTTTACACTTTACCTTCAGGCTCTACATTTTCTTCTGACACAGTCTAAAAGCCTCAGTCATGCTTTTCAAAGCTGCCAGTAAATCAGGACTTGGCTACATCAAAGACCAAGGGTGATATCTTGAGTCCCCTGAAATTAATGGGAAATCTTCCACTGACTTCAGTGGAGCCATAAGTTCAAGCCAGCTGTCAAGCCAGCTGTCTATCTTTGCAGTAAAGCAGCTAAATAAGCATAAGGGAAAGCATATGATAGTTGGACTGATTCCATGCTCTGCTGAATAGCTTGATGTGTAAGCGTGAGCTCCTAGAGAGAATTAAGCCAGAGTTTCCCCAGTTTCAGCATAAGCAAAGGAAGTGATTTAGGATTTTTCTAAATGACAGTCTAGTGTAAAAAAAACCCTGAGCTCAGTCAGGCCAGCCATGTAAGCCAGCCACAAAAGTATGGAGCTAAGCACAGACTAATTAACCTGCCAGTTTAGCTCCTTGGTAGTGTGCCTAGATTGCTTCTGGCGCCTGGCTAAGCTCAGGACAAATGCACATGTTGGTATATATCTCTACATTGCATTGCAGTCTGCAGCAAGGAAATACCCTGAGCTGATAAAATCTTTCAACGGTAACAGAGAAAGCAAAACAAAGACAAAAAACAATCCTACCTTCAAGAAAGAACCTGGAGAATGATCTACTAAAATCCCCGGCAAAACCTAAACAACTAGAGGACAAAGAGCAAAATCTTTGGTAAAGTCTGCTGGGCATGCAGATCAGTTTACCTGGACAGCACTTAACTTGACAAAACGAAACTTCAGAGGGACTTTAGACCAGTATCTTCAAACTATTATGAAACTAACGTGTCAGAAGATGTTAGGGCTCAGTGCTTTCCAAATATCATCTTAGCACTGAATTCTTATTCCATGAATGATCCTACTGACTTTCTGAGGTGCGGTGCTCTTTAATAAGAGACCATGCTTTGTGTTAGAATTTGGTCCTTGCAATCCATTTTCAATAGTTATGTTACATTTTATGGTCAAATGTCTGTATTTATATGGTTTTGTATAATTATTCTGTTGTATATTTAAAATAATGTTGGGGTTAGAAATTGTCATGTTCAGTTAGACACCCCAAAGTTCAGAGGCTAAACAGAATGGTTTAGGGAAGGTTATCCAACTGGTGGCTAGAGGGTCACATGTAGCCCACAAGGAGCCACATGTGTGGGGCCCAGGGCTTGTACTGGTGTGGCCCCCACTGGTGTGGCTTGGGTGGGGTGTTACCTCTGGCCACTTAGATGTTGGGCAGTCCTGCTTTAGGGCTTTAGGCCTTATAAATGTACACCTCTTCCTTTCTGGTTCCACAGAGGAGCCCTTCAGCATTTCCAAACAACCTTATTTTAACTTTTACTGACATCAAAATCTGAAAAAGATTTTTTTTTTCCCAAGTCATCAACATTTTTCCCTTCCAGGTTTTTTAGGGAAGGATCTCATTTTTAGTTTCCAAACCTAACACACCCCAAATGCGTGCTGCTTGCCCCATATATTTTGTTTGAACAACTCGGCCTTGTATCTTTGTCCTGTTGCTGCTGCAGCATTTTGAACCAGTTCTGGGCCTGAGATATGAGGGTTACACACTGCAATGCACTCTAGACTACAACACCTCAAACACTGTGTTTAAAAAAGTGAATGTGCAGTAGCAGGTGGACCAGGGTACAATCCTCAACTAGTTGTACCAAAAAAACCCCCAAAGAATTTGAGAGTACAACTCCTTCAAAAGAATGAAACAGGAGAATAAATGTCATTACTTTGGGGATATTTATGCCTCAGTAATGGAAGGAGTTCATGTAAAGCTCCTGCTTACATGCTCTCATTCAGGTATAAACTCATCTTAGCCTGCTTTTCATTTTTAAGCTAAAACAAGCTGAAGTCACTCTACATATCCAGGAGTCAAAAAAAACCATGCAAAAAAAATAAAATAAAAATGAAGCAGCACACATGGGGGCAGCATGTGCCACTCAAAACTAGAGGCACAATCCATGAGCCTGGATCACTGCCCTGGGATGCCTCCAGGTAAAGATGGTGGGGCCAGCTAGTGCTGGCCTCAGCCACCCCTACCTCACCAAGGGAACCTGCCAGGTGGTTTAATGCATCCATTCCTTCTAATTTCCTAGGCTTGATTTCCTCAGTGTATCTGGCCCCTGGATGCCAAAGAGAAAGAAGGGAGATGAAGACAACTTGACTTCCATCTTCCTCAGGAAAAAAACTATCAAGGTAAGTGGACTTTATGGTGAGGGAAAGGCTGAGAACTGAATGCAGAGAAAGAGGAGCACAAGGTAAGTGAACAGTTCCTCTGGACTAAAGATGGCAGAGTAGTGTGGAGACCCTCCAAACCTGTTTCTGGGAAAGAGGTAAGGAAGTAATTTCATGTATTTAGTTCATTTATTTTTCTGTCATCCAAAAATGCAGACCTCATATCCATACATTTTAATGCTTCAAAAAATGTTTGTTTTTATTCAGATCTGGGTTTTGGTTGAAACTTTTGGCTTGGAGGGATTTTGGTTTTATCTAACTGAACTTCTCACTGTTACTACTTGTCTGAACTGCTTAAATTGGCTGTAGAAAGGCCTGCATTGGGCATAGAACTGAAATTTGCTATAAAAAACCCACGGAAGTAACTAACTATATTTGCATAGACTTCTATGGTCTTTGGAAAAGACTAAAATACTATTTACTTGTCATGTTCCTGAGTGGCACTCATGCACAGCTAGGGATTCTGTTTCCACTTGTACTGAGAAGGAGGGTCCTTCCATCTTTTAGCTGCAATGTTAGAGCATTTACCCAGAAGTCCTGTGTTTTAGACCCTTTGCACCCAAGGGAGTTTTGAACCTGTGAGCTGCTCCCCAGCAAAATGCTCTAATCAGCCTTAATCATCAGACTGGCCCACTGCATCTTGCATTTAATAAATATCCATTGAATAAATGGAATTAGCTAGTTTCAGCTCCTGTGGAATTTGGGGCTCCTTCTCTTCCAGAGTAACATCCATTTTACTAAGTCACTCTCTCTGTAGCTTGCTTTCTTCCTGAGGCCATACATCACCCTCTCTTGACTGCACAGTGGACCAGCTTCAAGTCATGGGCTGGAAAGTGTCCAGGGTAATGACCTAGCAGTTGGAGTACTTTTCCTGAGAAGCAGGACCCAGGTTTAAACCAATTCTGGCTGGTGTGCCTGCAGCATTATACACATGCCTAGGGAATTTCTATTCTGGGCAGATATTGAGCTTACTTAGTGGTACAGCTTATTGTTCATACTTAGTAGGGCAGTATGGGAAGAGGGGAGCTATGTTAAATCCCAAACTGTAAGTAAATGCCAAAAACAGCAGTTACCTGGCTATGTTAAGTGCCAATTAGGTGGATGAAGGAGAAATATAATCTAGCCCTAAATCCTCCAAATTGTAATTCATGGTGAAGAATTAGAAATGATGCTGCAGCTTTTATGCTTACATTACATACTGATTCATTCAGTGCTACACTTGCATCATCTCAACACTATTAGTAAACTACATACTGCTTTAGGAGCTGATTTGAAAGCTGGTGCATACTTGCTGACTAATTCCTGGCCTACTGTTTAGCAGATTTCAGTTTGATAATCCTGACACCTAATTGCAAGTTTTAACAGCCAGTTCCTGTGGCCCCATTTGGAAAGATACATTTTTGTTCTGATTCTTGTTTGGGCCACACCCTTTTCCTCCCCTCTAGCAGTGTAAAGAGGCTGATGAAATAGACATAAAAGTAATTTACTAGTGCTCACAATTTCATAATATTTAATATTTGCAGAGATTTTCCCTATAGTAATGTGTAGTTCATAAGCTCAAACTTAATGCCATAGGACTCAGGCTAAAAAGAGCAATACATCTCACATATGGTGATAAATACAACCAGCCTAACAGTTGCAGAGATACGTAAATCACAGATTGCTGCATTCTAAAGAGAACTTTCTCCTATAGGAAGACAGGCAGTGTTGTCATCACTACATCTCCTGGTGATTTGTGCTTAAGGAGGCAGCCAAGGGCTTGACAGGAGCTGGACTGGAAGTGACTACAGTGGAAATGCACCAAGGCAGTATGTTCTGTCCAAGCAGAACAAATATTCTGAACTCACAGTTGCATAAGCACAAGAAATTCATGCCCCTTCTGCACATGCATTGCAATAAGTACATGATTAGAGACTATTTTGCCATGAATGGTTCTGCTCTAGAAATGAATCAGGATTGTGTAGTGAAGGAGACTGTTGTCTGCTAGACCCCTCTTCATTTGTAACTAGAAAATGAGGGTGTACAAAAGATTTCAGGGAGAGGGTTTTATGAACAGGATAGTTAAATGTTGTCCTGGAGAATTAGATGCAATCTCTGGTTTTGCAACAGGTTTCAGGTCTTAAACCAAGCTTGTCATAGGTAGGCCCCCTTTGTGTATTTCTCTGAGTTGTGAGTGATTGACTTAAGGCCTGGAGGCTGACTTACAAATGGTCTGAGGTCATTCTGCTCTCGCGTCCCACCCAGACACCAAGTGGTGGGACCTGCTTGGCAAGGCTATGGCTGGGGCACCCCAGTGCCTGAGTCTGTACTCCACCCTCCTCCCACGAGCCACTGGGGACCTTAGCTGGTGGCTTCTCCATAGAGCCATCACTATGGGTGTGTATGTGGTGAGCTTCACAGACACTGCTGTCTCCTGCCTCTTCTGTGGGCAGAGGGAGACCCTGGTGCACATGACCCTTGAGTGCACCAGGCTGCAGCCCCTCCACCTCCACCTTCAGAATCTCCTACTGAGGCTCTGGTTGAATTTCACCCCCCATCTTTTTGTTTTTGGTCACACCATCCATGGCCTTGCCAAGTCCCAGAACCTCCTGGTCAACCTCCTCCTGGCCCTGGCCAAGTGGGCCTTGTACTTGACCAGGAAGGAGACCCTGGCTGGGAAGGTGCCCAAAGACTGCAGGGCCACTTTCTTTTCACTTGTCCATGCACATTTCCGGGCAGAGCACCAGTAGGTGGCATCTACTGACTCCTTGGATGCCTTTAAGGACTGGTAGGTATGGCCTGGGGGGCACTGCTCGGTCTCTCCCTCTGGAGAACTTCTTTTCACATTTTGAACCTTTGACCCCCACATCACTCCTACCTTTTTCTTCCTTAGTTGTCCCGCCAAAAAAAATATTAATTATTTGCATCTTTCAATCTTTGGACCCACACAGTGGGGACTATTACTATTAGTTAACTAGGTGGGACTTAAGGCCCACAATCTCTGGAAGACCTAAATAGACAGAAGGTCTGAGGACCTGTACTGCCTTATGGAATGCTAAGCACTCTTAACTGCAACTGAAATCAATAGGAGCTGTGCCAATCTATAAGCTAGGGACAGATATTACACATAGACTGGTATAAGTAATGGGAAACCAGTCCGAATCTGTAACACAACAGAAGTTCAGTGCACATAAATTGTTTTCAAACTGGTTTTGGCCATTTTAAGATAAACCTGGATGGATGTAGTATCAGGCTTAACTGATTTAGTTTAAATCGGTTTATTGAACTTCTGTCCCAGATCCTTTCCAGATTCAAGTTTAACTCAGTCTCCCAGCATCCCAGGATGCTTTGCATCTCCCACGCAAACTTCCCCTTGCAGTCTTGGCCCAAGCTGTCTGTACCAGCTCAGCTTGGAGGTGTGCTGTAGCATCCCCCAGCTTCTGGCCTGGGCTACTGCAGGCATGTGGCTGCATTTCCAGAATCAAAAGTGAATGTCTGTTCACTTGCTTATCAGTTCTATCTATATGGCTAGGCTATCCTGCAAAGATTGAATTGATTCAGCCTGTCTGTACTTAGCTGCAAAGTGCTTATAACATGTTCAGTAAGGCTGGCTGGAAACTTTTTGATAGAACAGTTTTCTATCAATAACACTTTCTTTCAAAGAAATCAAAATGCTTCATGGGCACATGGGGAGCTCACTGAAATGCTTGATGAGATTAAGCAAGAAGACTATCTATCTGGCTGGCTTACCCATCTTCTTGCCTGGTTTTCTTCCAGCCTGCCACCCAGTCAATCAGATGGCTGGATGCTTGTTGAGCATGCTGGTTCCCTGGCTACCCACCTGGCAGGTAAGCAGAATGTCCCTCAATCGGAATGTCCAGTGACCTGACTCTGGAAAGCCTATGGCTTATGCTTTCTGGGTAGATACCCTAGCCACTCAGTTTTGGGGGCTAAAGCATGGCAGTCATTTACCCAGGAAGCAGAAAACCTGTCTTCCTGGCATCACCCCTTTGCTTAAAGGTAGTTTAAACTTGCATCTCTATGCTTCGTATCACAGTATACTAATCACCACATGACAGGTCAAACATTTCTCCATTTCTCCTTTTGCAGATGAGTCACCATGGGGGGAATGTCCTACTTCATTAAAAACAATGACTCAAGCTAGATTCCCAAGTAACTTCCTTTCAATCACAGCACATATTTCGCTGAACCAAAACAGTTCTTCTGGCCTGAGTGTTTTTTCACAGAGTTACTCTCCAGGATGAGTTGGCCATGTCAGAAGAATGGGAGGAGACTGTATCCCCAAGAATATTTTCTACAACAAGATTTGAGATGGCTCTAGAAAGCACGGTTGCCCTCCATGGTCATACAACAACATGTGCAAAAATTATATAAAGTAATTTAACGTCAACATAGAAAGCTGGGAGGAATGTGCAGAATCCCATCCAACTGGAGGGGAACATCTCTGGCACTAGGTGCAGGTCAGCATGAAGTGGCTTTGATCTGGAGAATGAAAGAAAAGCGAGAAAGAAGAAAGCAGCATGCTGTAAACTTGGATTCCCAGACAACACATGGATCTGTGAAAGCTGTAACAAGCTTTGGTACTCAAATTGGGCTTATCAGCTGCAAGTGGATTCATCAGGCACCTGCCTAGACATCTTATGCGTACACCATGATCCAGAGGATTGATGGTTGCCTATTACTCTCAGGGTGGCATGCACATAGCTGTGACCATGCCTGGCTGAGTGCACTTATGTATCTGCAGCATAAAGCAGAGCTGAAAATGCCCAGCCATCTGGCTGGGTACCAGGAACTTTAAAGGGCATCTCTCAGACATTTAAGAGCCTGGCAGGGAGGCATAGTGTGGGACCTGCTCCAAGCTCTGGTTCCCTACTGCCTGGACATATGCTCCAGGTTATGGCTGATTGCCTCCCCTTAAAAGATCCTTGATGGCAGGCAGGAACTTTAAAGAGCTCCTGAGCAGCCTGAGACCAGCTTCAGCGTTCCAAAGATAACCTTAATTATGACAGTCCCTAACTTTTGAGTGCTTGGTTTTACACTCTTAATACTAGGTTTTCAACATAGTTCTCATGTGAACAATTACTGTATAGGCACACATTTGAACAGGCAGGGTTCTTCTGCTGTTAACCATGCTAATTTGCAGCTACTGACAGTGAACTCTGTAGAAAAGTACAGGTTCTCCAGCCTTCTCTAGCCATGCTGCATTGCTCAGATGATGCTAAGTTACAAAGGGAATCTCTGCTGGCCTGAATCATATATTTACTGTGCCATGTGTCATCTCACCCATCAACAAGGGTTGTGTCAGGACCTGGACGAATTTCTGAGAGACATGGGGGAGGATGGTAGAGCACTGCTTCACCTTTCAAATACTTCAGTAAGCCAGGGAGGTCCTCCCACATGCACTAACTGTTACTGAGGCAAGTATTCCAGCATTATGATGGAACCACTGGTGGAGATGTAGTAGAAAACTGAGTCTCACATCTCTGTCAGATATGAATATCCATGGGCTGTGATGCTGGATGGTATACGTTTGTTCACCTACTTGCCTACAATGAAAAGGACATCTATTGCAGTCCAAACCTTCCTGGTGACTTGGAGCTGTGATAGTTTCATAGTTTCATAGTAGCTAGGGTCAGAAGGGACCTGATCAGATCGTCTAGCCTGCCCCCCTGCCACAGGCAGGAATGAATGCTGGGTTCACAAGACCCCAGACAGGTGATCATCCAACCTCCTCTTGAATTTGCCCAAGGTAGGGGCAAGGACCACTTCCCTGGGAAGTTGGTTCCAGATTCTAGCCACCCTAACTGTAAAATATTGCCTTTTGATTTCTAACCTAAACCTATTCTCCATCAGCTTATTACCATTGTTCTTTGTCACCCCAGGTGGTGCTGGCGAGAAAAGGGCTCTTCCTATTTGCTAATGATCTCCCCTGATGAGTTTGTAGGCAGCCACCAGGTCCCCCCTCAGCCTCCTCTTGCCAAGGCTGAATAGGTTCAGGCATAGCATAAACAAAAAAGACAATTGCAAGGTGATGTACACTTTTGACCCAAGCTTGACCTCTAGAGTGCATATGAACTACTCTAGGGTTATAGGGCCATATTTTTTTCATGCACTAGGGTCTGGTTATTACACTCATTCTTGAGGCATCTCACCACAACCATTCTGCCAGATGCAGCACTGGTTTTTTTTTATGTTTTGGGTGCTCATTGCTGTGGTATTCAAGCACTCAAGGTGATATACAGCTGAACCAAACATACCACCTTGGGCCTATTGTCTTTGCGGCAAATATTTAAAATTTCTTGTAAAGAGTTTTAATTTATTTTGCAATAAATTACTGACTTGTTTCTTACTCAGTAACTGTAAAAGCACAGCAGGAAGGAAGCATCCCACCCATCTTTAGTCTATCGTTCACCATCTCTAAAAGGTGTCATCCTAAACTCCTCAGCAAGCCATTTTAATGCAATAAAAAGAAAAAGTGCTGCAGATGTCTTAAAGGTTATCACATATTATATTAAACAAACCTCATGTACATTAAAGCACTTATTTTTTTGCAAACCACATGTCCAGACGTGTATACTGATTGCCATGTTTATTCACAACCCCCTCCCCCCCCCAACCCCGGCACCAAAGAAGCACACTTTGTTTTGCTCAGGATAAAGGGTGAACTATTTTTTTCTTTTAACCAAACTGCCAGAACTCACTTTCCCCATTATTTCCCTCAAAATTAGTGATAAAAAATTTAAGTGCATGTCTTAGATGTGAGTGTTTTAATGGTGAATGTGGCATGTGAATAAATAAAGTCATTGCCTTGACACCTTTCCCAGGTAGAAGAGTTTATCACCTATTTTAAAAACAGGGAAAGTGAGATTCAGAGGTTAAGTGCTTAATGCAGTTTGAGGGACTCCCTACTGGAGCTTGGATTAGATCTCTAGCTTCTAGTTCTATAGTCCAAACAGTTTGTTTCTTTCAAGTAGCTTATCTTATTGCTTGACATCATAAAGCAATACTTGGATATGAGGGCCATATTTTCAAGGTGCCTCAACCTGTGGTGAACTCCTGCTCACATTTAAAGTACTTCTTTAGAGTACTTCTTCTATGGTCTTGAACTTGCAGCCATGTGCCTTAGTGTCCATGCCACCCCAGCCCCTACTTGTGCTTGTGAAAAGAGAAAATGAAAGGTCTGAAGGAAAGGGGTTGAAATTGCAGGGTTTGATGAGTACGATAGCCTGCTGACTTGCACTGCTGCTTAGTTCCTCTTTGGTACAATATATTTGGACAGCCATGGAGATGAATGGAGCAGTGGGGAATGGGCTAGAAAAACAGCTAACAGAATATAATGGGACCCTTTTTTCAGAGCACTCAGTCTGAGCAGAGCTGTTGCACTTGAATAGCTTAGGGATGCTGCATGACCTGTGCCCGCTTCAGCTGCAGAACTGAGGAGAGAAGCTCCAAGTGCAAATCTGCCTAGTTTGTACTTAAAAAAAAAAAAAACAACTCACTAGCTGCGGGCCTCCACAGAAGTCCCCTGAGGCCAAGCTATGAGTGTCTCCCAGCTGCTGCTGCAGTAACCCCTACAGATGGAGGGGAGCTTAGAGCCAACCTGTGAGTTGTGATGGCAAATGGGCATGTTGGCCAATTTTGGTGTGTATCAGCAGGCTGAAAGGCCTGAGCCTGACTCTGGTAGGTTTGCCTGAGGGTAGGTGGCTCAGCAGCCTAGGTTAACAGAAGTTCTTAAGGTATATGATTAAGTACATGAGTTTTTTAAACCAGTAGCCCCTCAGGGAATGGTGTAGTTAACATTGTATCTAGCCACCTATGACTCCCCAGCTTGAACAACCCAGCACTGGTTTACAGCTGGATTGATTATGGGAGCAGCATTCAGTACAAATACAGACACAGGGTGGTCTCACACCTCTGGAGGTGTAGCAAGATACTTTAACCACTATGGGCATTTGTACACGTGCTTGTGCCACAGCACCAGGCACTTTTAAAAGTGCCTGGCACTGCGACATGTGCATTGGTATAAATGGTGAAACACGTGTCAGTGCTGAGAAAATGGCAGCAGCACACTTTTGAACTAAAATGCATCAAAAGTGTTTTAGTGCAAAAGTGCACCGCCACCACTTTCTCTGTGCTGATGTGCATTTCGCCATTTATACAAATCCATGCAGCACAGCGCATTAGCTTGCATGAGGAGCAGAATCAATGAATCGAGTCTGCTCTGATGTGCTGTATCTCTGGTGCATTGGAGCAGACAAATGTATGTGTATAAATGCCCTATGGTACCACACCTCAGTGCACATACTGTGCTGCTGTTGAAAAAGCATGAGCATTATGTTTCAAGGCTGAATATACCAACAGAGTAAGTACCAATTGCAGAAAGGAAATAATATTTGCATGGACAAATTAAGCTGTAGGTCTTTTTACTTTTCTTTATTACAAAACTATATTCCTCTTCACTCCCACCTTTGACAACAATGTGCATCTTTTCAGGCTCAACGTATTTCTCTCCCTTTCACCCCCCAAACTGGATATTTATTTTATTGTTTTCAGTCAGAAAAGCAGAATTAAACACATGGGATATAAAAATATTCCTGTATTTCAAAAAATGTGTTCCAAGGGAGGGCAAGCCCCCTACACTCATTTTTTCTTGCATCACTAATTAAATCATTTATGTCCCATGTTGTTAAGCTAAGGGATATATGGGGTTAAGCTAAGGGATATATGGGGGTTTTTTTCCCCACCAAGCACCTTGAGCCATAGTATATGCCCCATTTGTTTTCAGAATAATATAAAGCTAGCTATGACAAAGAAGCTCCCTGGGGTACTTTTTCTCTATTTCATGTACTGTAAAGTTCCAAAGTGGAACAGCTGCTTCGCTCTCTGGACAACAACGTTATCTAATGAATAGTACATTCTGTTTCAGATCCAAGGCATTTTTAACTCTTCACTGTATTTCTCTTAATGTTATTGCCATACTTTGCTTTTCACTGGACGTCTCGGGCAAGCATCTGCAGATCTTCCTTCGTATCTTCCGTCGAAATTCTTTGGAACAGAAATAGTAAACCAATGGGTCAAAGCAGCAATTCAGGCTGTTCAATGCCAGGGAAAGCTTATATTCCACATAAACAGTCTTGTCTTGGGCAGCATAGACTAAATGCATGATTGTTATAACAATATTAGGCACATAACACACCACAAATATTGTAAGCAACACCACTATCAAATACACTGTATGCCTCTTAGTTTCAGTGAGTTGTGAGGAAGAGGAAGTAAGAAGCGTTCTGATGATTGCAGTGTAGCAGAAGCCCATAATCAGTGAAGGCACAAGATAGAACAGAAGGACTTGAGAGCCAAAATAAGCAATGAAATAACTCTTGGAAGGCAACATCTTTCTGGGCAGCACATCAAAGCAAGTGACTATCTTCAGCTCATCAACATTGAGGGTTAGGTCTGTCTTCATGAGTGGAATTTGCAGTAGCAAAACAAATGCCCACATAATGATGCATGTCAGGAGAGCTGTTCTAATGGGTCTCATTCTCTTGTATCTCAATGGACATACAATTCCTAGGTAACGCTCAAAGCTGATACTTGACATGGTTAAAAGGGAACAATACATGTTCCCATAAAATAGCACAGTCACAACTTGACATAAAACCGGCCCAAAGTGCCAGTTATTTCCCTGTAAATGGTAGATAGCTTGAAAAGGTAGGAGGATACTGTACAACAAGTCTGCAATTGTTAAGTTAATGGCAAACACAATGGCAGAAGACCAAGGTCTTGAGTAATGACAGAGGAACCACAAGGATATTGAATTGAGAGGAATGCTGATGGAAAAAATGAAAAGATAGAGGACAGGCAAGGTGGTCTGGAGCATTTGGTTGTTCAGCATCTCTATTGTGGAGTTTGACAACATGTTTACAGGATCAATTCAGTAATCTCCTCTTGACTGGAGCAACTGGAAAAGCTTCAGACGTCTTCTCCCTCATAAGAAGAAAATGGAACTGAGATTAGACCTGGGTGTTTTTCCTTAAAAAAATAGCACATGATCTTCCTTTTTATTTTAAAAGCAAGTAAATGTACACATGAGAAAAGTCTTGATTTTTTTCTTTCCCCAATTCATTAATTCATATATGATTGAAGTGGCACTCGGGGAGAGTGTGGGGTTAATTTGTGGCACGCCTGTCAAAGGTTTGGCCACCACTGAGTTAGAATGTGTCAAACTTACCTTACTGTATCCATATGCATTTTGCATTGTTTTAGGATAATGGGGTCCTTAGTCAAGGGGTACTTTATAAATGTTGGATGCTTACCTTCAATGGGATTTAACTAGAATGCATCAGAGTGGAGCGGATTTGATTAATCGAGTCTACTCTGCGTTCTAATTAGAACCCTCTAGCTCACTGCAGCATCACATGTATAAGCCCCCACAGGTTCAAAAATGGCTGCGGGGGTACTTTAAGTAAAGTTCATTGAATGAGCTTTAGTTAAAGCATTTAACGGCCATTTTTAAATGTGTGGAGGTTTAATTCAGGTGACATTGTGGCATATTAATTAAAGTGGCTCTCTGGGAACTGCTTTAACTAAAATGTTCTCCCCTACCCCCGAGCACATGTATAGGCAGCCATTTTGAACTACCTTTTTGAGTATGGGGTCTAAACCTGTAATAAAACTATGGCACTTTAAACCCAAGAGGTCGAATCATGAGGAGTGCTGAGCACTTGTAACTCACATTTCACCATCTCTGCTATCAACATTATACAATGAAGACACAAGGCCAAGGGCAGAATCCTAAAAAATGCTGAGCATTCCTTGAAGTCTATGGTATCTGAACGTACTTAGCATCTTGTGAAGCTAGGCCTTGGGGTCAGAGAAAGTACAAGCATATGCCACAGGGGCAAAAATAATGTAGCCCTTTTTCTTGCCCCCTTTACAGGTTTTAGGATTTTGTTAGTCAACTTCCTATTTGAGAAGAACATACAGACACAGAGCCTGGATATTTTATTAGTCTATTTTATACCGGACACATCAGCTCTGGAGAAGAGAGAGAAAATTCTCATTCATGCAATCTCTTCATTCAGGGGTCTAAGAGTCACATCCATTCATTGCTTTCAGGAAATAATGCTGTGTCTGCCTCACTGGTGCTGATTAAATAGATAAAGGCAGTGTGCAAACTCCCTTGCTGCTCACTATCATTCCCTCCATTTACCCTAGAAGAAAACTGTGCAACAAACTAATACCCACAAAGTCTTCTTGATAGTCTGAACAGTGCCCCAAGGCAGGTAAAAGAATATGAGACCATGAGTAACAGTGCCACCTGGTGACTTCTGAAACAATATTCAATTGGTCCTCAAAAAAGTCTTTTTATCAATAATAGTGTTTTGAAATATTCACAACTACAAAAGGCTGATGGAATTGTCGCAGAAGTCATATGTGGTTATTTTTAAATACAAAATTGAAGAGACAGTACAAGCCTAATTCTGCTCCTACTGAAGTTATTGGAAGCAGTTCCCTGTATCTAGGACTCTGGGTAATTTGAAATCTGGGAACAGTGCCTAATACTGAAAGGGTTTAATATAGTTTCCATGAGTGGGCAAACCCATGAGTGGGCAAATGAATATCAAAAGTTTTGGGGAGTAGACCCCCAGCTGATGCATGTTATCATAGCTCCTGTGAAGTTCATGAAGGAGTGACCATTTATAGCAGCTGAAGATCTACCTGTTGGTACTGTTTGAGCTCAGTTCTTCTTCTTGATGACTTAGCCTGCACTAGAATAGGACGGAGCACAGTGGTCTAGTAAACAGCATGGCTCAACACAAGTATTCGCCAATGAACACCACCCATATTATATGCAATACACATGATGCAAGTGTTCATTTTCACTTAATATAACTAATAAAATCTTGAATGAAAATTAAATGATAATGTAAACCTGGCAGCCAAATCATAATAACAACAACTAATAATGGTTTTACCTGCAGGAGCCCTGCACTTTTGATTTCCTCCTAGAAATTATGCTGTCCGCTGTGAGTGTTAATTTGGCGTGCTCATTTCCCTGGCATTGAACAGTTTACAAACTGTAGGCACATACAGCAGCATACAAAATATCAATATTGTCTTCTTTTTTAATTTAGCAATTTTCCATTCCCTCTAATAACTGGGACCTTACTATGTGCCACAAGTGGCTGGGAGACTCAAAGGATAACAATGCTCTTGATCAAGCAACGTATTTGAATACACATACATTTTTAAAAAAGGAAGGCTAATGGATCACAGACCCTGCCTCATTCATTGATAAGGGTCTGATACAGCTCTGTTTTCATTCTTTATGCTATATTATGTCCTACTATATAAGCAAATATCCTTCTACCAGCCATCTTAGGCTCTTTGTTGTTTATTAACACATGAGGTGAACCCACTGAGTGCTTATGGATTAGCAGAGTGAGAATTACAATGTATCTACTCGACCAGTGGTAAATACTTTTTTGATAAATCCAGTTGGTTATTTCTGTGACTCCAATAACCAGTAGTAACTCAGTATCTCACAGACATTAGCAGGGTGGCCTCTCTGCTAATTACTTCACTTTGTTCTGTGTTTGCAGCTGTTATGCATTAAAGCTCCCTCATAACTTTAATTTATGCCAGAGCCAGCTGGAACAGAATGAAAGAGCTGTTTAGGGAATTGTGATTGTCTTGCCATTGTTTTGTCTCATGAGCTTCTTAACATCACCCAACCTCTGTCAGGAGGCAATGAAGAAATTGGCCATACCTCCATAGTAACTTTGTGAAAATAATATTAGCATATTCTACACATGAGACAGTGAGACACGGTTGGCTAGGTTGTGACTCAAGGCGGGAGAGGGAGAAAAAAATACTTCTTACACTTTACTTTTTGCAAATTTTGGTGCAGAGGTAGGTGGGTGTGTGGGAAAGAGCTAATAGCCTTGTTTATGCACACACTGGCCAAATTTTGGCTAGCAGTAAATTCCTACTGTTAAGAGGCAAGGAAGTAACTTGGATATATTTTTTTAAGGTCTTGTATTCACTGCAACAGGTAGCTGAAGCTACTCTACTCATACGAGCCTAGTTTCACCAAATGGTGTCATGGTTAGTGTAGAGGCATTGGGTTAGCAGCTGATGAAAACTGTTAACTCATGCTCTAACCAGCATCTCCAGCTTCATTGCAATGCTAATTTAAAAGCCAGCATCCAACATCCTGGCTGGGCAACTAGCTGAGTTTAAAGTGCCAATTAGCTTGGGATAGTGGGGTTTTGGTTTTTTTGTACATATGTGGATCAAGATAGGTGTAATGCTCAAATTATATCACAAGTTAACACTTCAGTTAAGGCAAGCCCCTGAGGTGTGAATTGGTCCAAAGTGAAACACTCAAAAAGGCAAATGATAGATGAAGCATGATAAAAACTACTGAGTATATAAAGATGCTGTTGATAGCATATTGAGCACACTGCTTTTAAAAATGGCCCTCAATCTTTTATCTGGATACAAAACTTTGCTTAAGGTATGCAGATAGTTTATTATAGAGTGAGTCCTAGATGAATACTGATAAAGAGTGAAGCAGAAAAGGCTGGGGGGTTTTTCAAGTTCTCACAAACATTAAATAATTTCTTTCAGCTAGTGCACAAGTTAGGATGCATTTAAAACCTGAATTCCATTGGAAACCACTGCTACTTCAGAGGCATAGGCATTGTGGCAGAAATGCCACCGTCGGTGCCCCTCTCCAGAGATCTGTCTCTGCCAGCGTGAGAGGCTGGTGTTGAATCCCTCAGGGCGGGGATCTCCCTACCTTGTCTACATGACAAATGCTCTGGTCACCTGGGCAGGGGGGAAAAAGCCCGGCCCTGCGCATGGGCCCAGGTAGCCAGGGATGCTTGGTAGATTGGTTGGCTTGCGGCCAGTATTGGCAGCTTCAATTGGACCGGGCTGCTGAGGTCAGAGAGGTGATAAAAAGGCCCGGGCCAGGAAGAAGGGAGCCTTTAGCCATGCAGTCATCCAGGTGAATCTGAAACTGGGAGAGGAGCTTCACCATCTGAAACTGGCTCTCTCTTCATAACCGCATGCTCTAAGAGTGACCTGCCTCCAGAGGAAAACTCCAACCTCCGGATGATGCGAATGAGTAAGCTGCTTGAGATCAGACTAGATATTTAGCTTATAGTAACTCAGATGCGTGTTTAAAAGGCTACCATCAGCCACACGGGTTTGCTCTATAGGATTCCTCTGATATTCCTATGATATTTCTATGATATTGTTCTACCTTTTACCCTGTTTCCGCCCTACCCCCTGAATCAATAAAGTTCTCCTTTGTGACCGGTGTGGGAGACTTATTGAGGGGTGGGTCTAAATTATGCCGAGGAGGCCCCTTAGGTCTGCGGACTAAGGGAGGCTTCCCTAATCAGCCCCTGACTTGGGAAAGTGCCCCAAGTGCTTGTATTGGGTCTAGTACCCATTGGACGATCCGGCCTGTGTTTTCCAAGGTGCACAGAGCCAGAATTGAGTCCAGATCCTTGGATGGTGGCAGCGGGAACCCCAGGCTAGCGGGTGTGCTCTAGGGAAGGGGTCGGCCAGATGGGAAGTACCCCAGGGAGGCACTCGGAGCCTGGAAGGTGGTCGGGCGCAGGGAGGTGGGTGGCTCAATGCAGGAGCGCCCCCTACTGGCCCGCCACAGGCATGAAATATTGTTTAGTTTATTTAATTCTCTTTAAGATAAGAGATAAAAAAACAGGGAAATAAGATGGTAATTAGGTAGCAATATTCTGTGCCTGTTTTGATAAACATTTTTAGATGAAGACAGTATCACCAGTTACAATAATTCAGAAATCCTTAGATTGATGTAAAAACCATGAGATTGCTTTAAAAGACTTGAGATTTAAAAAAAATATTTTGTGATTTCTTTATTTTCCTTAGCAGGGTCCATGTTTTCAAGCTTTACTCACATGGATTAGAAACTGGTTTTTAAAAAAAAGTGG